ATGTACTGAGTTATACTAATTAAAAAAAAAACAGTACATATTGGAAAAACAATTTATAAAAACTATCACTGTGTGTTGAATCAGGATGTGTGATGGAGTTTTTTGCGGTTTGACAATCAAACGAAGCAAATACTGTTAATTTTAAAATGTCGATAGTGTTTTAAAAAAGTATTTAATCGGCGAAAATTGTAATAAAAATAATTAGGATTAAAGGAAAGATAAACGGAAGAAGTTAAGACGAAAACAATTGCTAGTTGATAAAATGATTTTCATAAAAAAGGCATAAAGTTGTTAATGTGACATTGTCGTCGATAGTATATTTTATTTAGTAGAAATATGAAGTAGGTATTGGTAAGAGCAATGTGAAGGCAATAATGTACTTAAAATTAGCCAATAATTATTGCATACAATTAGTACGAATCATGTTTTTGAGGAAATTCAATTTAAAGATTAAACCTGCTCCCAAATGATTATTTTTAATACTTTGCAATTATGCTTGTTGTTTTAATTTTAAGCTACTCAATTAAATCTCAGCCAGACACCAGAATTTTAGGTGATAACTATTTATGGCCATTCCACCTTCACTGATGGTTTTTGTCCATACCAAACAATATATTATATCTAGTGTTCATAATTTAGAGAATTAGGTATGACAATCACAATACCAGAAACCATATCTATTCGACAAATAGGATTTATTAGAAGAAAAAAAAACATTAAGAGAGGAATATTTACATACTCAGTCAGTGACCAATTTATAACTAAAATATACGGACATAACAAACATTGGGGTTACGCCATGTAAATATAAAATATCTTTCACGCGTCAAAGAAAACAATAATGCCGTTTCAATGGTTTTTTTTTTTACACGTTTTATAATAGAATAAAAAATGTACATTTTAGACACCAATTTTTCTCGTGTTTTTTTATTTCAAGCTCGAAGCAATATCAGAATAAATATTCATATACAGCCAACCCGATTGAAGCGTATCAAAAACAATTTTAACCGATGTCTATATGATCGTCGTTGTTCACCACATATTTTTCAACTTAGATTTACAGCGCTTCATAACTTTTTGGACAAAAGTTAGATCTAGAATTGAACTATGACGTGTACAATTTTCTCAATAATTGTTATTATTCATGTTTATTATTTTATTTCTAAACTTACCAAAACCATACTTTATACTTACTATACCATACTCATTACAACTACTCACTTACGTAAGCAAATCCGTCAAGCACATCAGTTTTTCAGCTGTCAGTATGCCAGCACTCTAAACATTTGTTACCATTACACTTTGGCCGCAGTACTCGTGTGTAAAACAATTGAAAATCCCACCACAACCGCGGTGTGTATAACCAAGTTTAGGAAAATGATCCAAAAAATCGACGAAATGGTGGTGCTCGTTCTGGCCAACCTCTCGTTAACTAACAATGAGTTCCCAATAACAACGTACGACAATGCGGTGTCCGAAACGATGGAAGAGTTCAGGAGGTTCTACAGCACCTTGTTTTTCAATAATGCATCACGCGACAAAATGTACCACGACTCAATAATCAATGCTACCGAAAATAATATGAACACCGCCTTACGAAGCTTGGGTAAGTTCTATAATGATTTTTGCAGACCTAATAAAGACATTGTAATTGCCGGAATCGGGCAGGATATCCGGAGAATGCGTGGAATATTTCAGCCCAATGTAGTAATGCGACGAATTAAAAATCGGATAGATTTTAACGTCAACTCGAGCTTAATTGAACTCTGGGCCTCTGTTGGCTTCGAGGACGATGCGGTATGTACCATAGACCGTGTTACGTACGTACCGTAACGAATTCCAAAAAAATTTTAATCAAATTCATACTGTAAAAGGAATTATCAGTCTAGAATAATTGAAGATCCAGCTAACATAGAACTCGAAACACCTGATCCACAGCCGCAACATTTATTCGCAATTTATTATAATGGCTATTGTCAAATACATTTTATAAAATTACAAAATCTGTACAGTTATAAAATTCTATTTTATAATTATTAACTGACTATTATAATTCAAATATACGTTTAAAAAAAATCCCATAAATTTCTAGTTATTTATGATAGAATAATATTTTGTATTGGTCAATTTTGATTTGTTTAATAATAAATTGAACAAATACATTAAGGTCATGGCATATTGAGGTGAGAGGAACGCGCAGATCTATATAAATGATTACGACAAGCAGTGATAAAATTACTTTCGAATTAACACTTCTCATTAAAACCAATCAAGCACAGTAAGAGAGTATTATACGTAAGTGAGTAGTTGTAATAAGTATGGTATAGCAAGTATAAAATATGGTTTCTTGTTATAGTTTTTGAAATAAAAAAATAAACATCAATAATAACATTTATTGAGAAGTCATAGTTTAATTCTAGATCTACCTTTTGTCAAATTTTCAGACTAAAATCCCTAAAACTTGTAAAAGTGAAAGAAAGAAAAAAAATACTATCTATTTTACGGGAGGGGGACTGTGATATTCGTTTGGGTTGTAAACGTTTAACGGTAGTACTATGTCTTAAGAATAATCTATATATCATTGAAACTAATTCGACTATTTTTAATAAAGTTATGGAGCGCTGTAAATCTAAGTTCAAAAATATAGACTAAAATCCCTACGACTTTGAATCTGTGGGTAGTAGGTTAAAACCAATTTAGTATAAAGCAAGCACAATAAGAAAGTGTTATACGTAAATGAGTAGTTGTAATAAGTATAAAGTATGGTGTCTTGTTATAGTTTAGAAATAAAATAATAAACATGAATAACATCTAACAATTATTGAGAAAATTACCAAGTCACTTTTATATTTAATTTAGTTTTAAGTTTAACTAGGCTACAAAACGAATAATATGTTCCTTTCTACGATTGTCGATTTTACAGTGAATTAAAAAAAAAAAATTAATATGATAAAATGTATAACACTCAAATTTTAAACTGTCAAACGGGAACTTCTTATATAAATCGAAAAACGACTTGTTGTTTGTTTTATGCGATGTGAAGCGAGCAGAGAGTATTCTTTAATTTCTAAAAAAATGTATTTTTTTTTATTATAATGATGTATTAAGACTGATGGCGTCAACAACGAATATTCGTGTGGTACTTTAGGTTATATCTCCTCTCTTTTCCCCTCTCTTCCTTAGTTTAAACACTATGTTTAGCACAAAAAAAACATACGTTTTTTTAAAAACTAAATTTGGTAAAAACTTTTTACCAAATTTAAAAATGCTAAGGTTATAATAAATGGAAAATATTTTCGAAAAGTATACAATTTCGGCACTTGTGCACACATGAGAATGTGTTAGTCATTTTTTTTGCCATCCTTTAAGCAGAAGATTACATCGATCGAACGACAAAAACAATATATAAAATTGTCGATATTCGAATTACAAATTTTTTTTTTGTGCACATCTTAGTGTTACTTTTTACGTTGAAAATTCGAAGGTCATAGCAAATAGTCAAAACTTGAAAATGTTATCTAATCAGATATACTATTTACGATATCGATATCGATTTGCGCACATAAATATTTTATTCATTCACAACTACTGCTTTTAATAGTCGGTAAAACAAATAGTAGCCTAAACTTAAGTATGGCTATCGACGGATATGCTCAAAGGAAAAATCCATTACAAAAATTTAAATTGCATTGTATAAATACAATATACAATAGTTCACGATAATATGATCACCCTGTATTCAATTAATAAAATATATATATATATATATATATATATATATATACTTTTAAATCGTTTCGTAATTATCACGTATTATAGATTACATTTTGATAATTAAGCGCCAACTTATATTATATTAAATTAACTTTTAAGCAAAGCATATTCGTTTTGAAAAATAGTGGGGTTAATTAATCTTTATTCTTTATTTGTAGTTTTAGGAATTAAAATTATACTTAAAGTACAGGTTACCAAGGTATACTGTATTGTGTTAATCAATTTGATCTATGAAAATTGCTTTTACATGTATTCGAACAGAAAAATAATATGCAGGGTCAAAAAATACTGTGGAATATTGAAAACAACAATTCGCATAAAGTTATAAAAACTAATAGTACCGACCTATGTGGAACAAAAAAAATAAGTTGTTTTTCAGTGAAATATTTTCGCATATAAAAAAATGTGTACAAATAAGAACAGTTACAACGACAACAACAGCAGAAAACACAATAACAATTTAGTTTTATCAGCAAATTAATAGAATTTCAATTGAAACGCTCGATAAAATATCTGTTTATATTTTACATTGCCAATTGAGAACAATTAAAAAAAACAACCGGCTGGGTTAGGTTAGGGGCTGATGCAATGGTTGAAATTATTATTTTGCTTGCTGGAATTCGAAAAAGAACATACTATTCAAAGGCCTTTTTACGATATTCATATGTATGTATGTATGAGAGTTTTTATACTGAAGATTACAAAAATATTGACACATTTCCTAGCGTAGGTACAATACATTGTACAGCTGTTTATATAGCGGTTAACGTTGTGTTGGTAAATTGTTCAATGACTCATAATCGGTTTTGAAAACTATCACTGTGAAGTTCAAATACAAATTGGGTTCAAAACCCTGTTTGAAAACATAGGTTAGATACATCATCGAAGGCGATTTTTTCCATACAAATCCATAGGTGTAATTAAAGGAGGGAGAGCCCATCTCTAGAATACCCTCCCTAGTAGCAAAGGCTACATAAAAAATGTAACGTATTTTCTATAAATTTCAAAGTTAATTAAAAACAAACTTTTTACTTTTTAAGGGTTTTCGTATGTCAAAAAAAAGGGTCATGATACAAATAGATATTTTTAAGTTAAAATAATACATTGATATTCTTGATTGATCGTGTATTGGGAACTGCATGCTTACTTATTAGACATTGAAGAAAAGACATTTATTTATTTATTTATTGTATTTTTAAACCCAATTACACATAAGAGAAGAATAGGAACATAAACATAGAATTTACATAAAAATAAAAGTATACAGATTAACATAATAGCTGACAAATACAATGGATTTCAACAACACAAAATAATAGATAAAGATAAACAATATTTACACAGTTGGATTATTTAAATAATTAACAAAATCTTCTAACGAGTTTTTAACAAATAAATTAATATTATTTTTATTTACTAGTCGCATTATGCGATTTAAAGGGGCATCATGACAATAGTTTGAGAAAGGTCAACAGTCTTCCTTGTGTCATCTATTATTTCACTAACATTTTTTTCTACTTTTCTATAATATAATATAATATTTGATTAGATTCCAAACTATTTTTAAATTATTTCGTGAATTAATAATTTTAGTACCATAACATATGTTTTTTGCCATATACATTAGCTTATTCAATAAATCCCTATACTTTATAAACTACTTTATTACATATTATAATGGATTGTTGCATTTTCGTTTTATTAAAAATTGTCCACTTAGTGATGATTGAATTAAGCTACGTCGTGTAATCCATGGATTTAGTTTACTTTTTTTCTTATTACTAAAATGTTTGCACATTTTACTTATTATATGATAATACCAGTAAGTTCCATAATGATGAACATAGACAGTCCGGCGATGTACGGTTTTCATTTAATGGACAACGCATAAAGATATATGTGGTTAAGAAAAATACTCTGATAATATATGAATAAACCATTCAAGACGCTAATAATTACCGAGTATTTAATATTAAAAAATTTAAGTCTAACTGTTTTCTGTTAAATGCAATATAAAATATGATTAAAATGAACTAATGAATGAATAAGTGTGGATTTCGGACGGCTATGGCTGTATTATAATTAGCAGTTGAATTTAGGATTTAGTGAGTGCCGAAGCCATAAAGCCCACGGCAAGGAGCGTACATCCGTCCATGTTTATGACTATGAATTCGCAAAAAACGATTTCAAAATGTAATCAAACATGAGATAAGTAGTCTAAAAAAGCAGTAAATTATTTAAATGGGAAAAACGACAATAGATAAATTGTTATAAAAGTTATATTATTAATTTTCTAATTTTCGTTAAAAACATACTGTTGTTCTTTATGTGTAATTGTCTGTCTACCTTTTATACGATTTTAAGAAATATGAACATGGCTGTTTATCTTTTTGTCGTTAAAAATCCCAATTTTTTAGGTGGATTTACACATAAACGTAAAACCAATAGATACAATTAAATAGAAGAAAGGCCACCGGGAAAAGGACGCGACTTAGTCGATCCATCCATAATGCAAATTCTTGTGATGTCATCACATGCTCCACAGTCTGTAAATCAGGAGAAACAATCGACTTAATAATCGAGAAATAATATTATTCTATTCTCTGCGAAATAATAAAAAAAAAACCTGATATATCGTCCTCTGTTTTTAATGATTTAAAATTATTTGAATCGTTTATGTTTAAGCGATTTTGTTGTGTTGTAACGCAACAACTATCGAATTCGTTCAGTTAATGTGGTCAGTCAACAGAGTAATGTGGAGAGAGAGAAAAAGGAGTTTTGCCTGGCCAAAACCACCATTTGTGTGTGTGGAAAAAGGGAAGAGGACGATAACAACCTAGGTCCTAGAAGATGCACGGGTAAGCAGGTGTTGTTTGGTTAAGGGGATTGCACGCAGTCTGTTTTTTTTATGTTTTATACGAAAAAGCCAAACAAAATGTCGACTACTTAGGTTGGGAGTTCTCTGGAAATTTTACTAGGTTATGTAGGAAATCGATTTTTGATGTATTGCTTTTGTTATATAAAAAATTGGGTTTTAATATTGAAAAAATTGCGATTTAAATTTATATTTAATTAGAGGAAACTGAAATTTTAGCTTCGATGCAAAGCGAGAAGGTATTGGTTTTACTCTGATGTGTGTTTTTTTTTTATCTGTATACACTGTAACTTCTTTAATACTGGACCAATTCTTTCGAATAGCAACTCTATAAATCGCAATTTTCATCTAGTTGGTACTTTGGGGGGGGGGGGGGTAAAAGTTGAAAAAGTTAATTCTTCACAGACGAAAGTTGAAAAAAACAAAAAAAAAACCGTACGAGTTTTTAAGTTAGAACTTTTACTGGCTATAATTTCGAGAAAAAGAGTCGGATCGAGTTGAAATGTATAAGAAATATATATTTGGTATGCCCGCACACGTCAGTTGTGTCAAACTTAAACTATACCCATTTCCCACCCCCCTAGGGGGGGTACAATTTTTTTTGTTTTTCCGGGTTTTTAGCGGTAATTTTAAAAATTTTGGGTTGAAAATTTGGCAGTAGTTGGAACTTATATATACCCACAACATATTAAACGGGAAAAAAATTCGGCACTACAGTTTTTTTTTAACTGCCGGGAAACTGTGTTTTCGCAGATTTCGTATATTTTAACAAAAACACCTAAAATCTTTAAAAAAAATTTATCAAATCATTAAAACAATTTTATTTATATCTATGCAGAATGATACTATTAGGTTTTGTGCTCAAGTGCCACTCTTGACTTAAAGTTTACACAAAGTTCATTTTTTTTTTTTTTTTAAATAAAAACCCTGTGTACCAGATGTGAGAAACGAACAGACACTAAAAACTATCAGTTGGTAACGTCTATCCGTGTTAGATTAGGTTAGGGCCCAATATTCGGTATCATAATATTGTGTTTATTACATGATATCACAGGCGACAAAAATCGTGTAACTGATTATAGTAGACACTCGATTTATTGGGAAAAAAACCTATCCGTGTACTTATTAAGACACTTAATGATTCTGATACGAAAAAACCACTGTCGTTATCTCGTTATTTTATAGCCTGCGTTATATAACCTTACCGAAGGTCAACTATGAGTATATAAGGTCCAACTTCCTGCAAATAATCAAGAGGACTGTTGTTTTTTGGATTCAGATTCAGAAGTGTTGGTTTTTATGCAGTATACCGCCTCAACATGTATTTTTTATTACAAAATTTTTTTAAAGGAAAACTAATGTTTTGTATATTGATATACTGTTATTCATTTAAAGAGATTCACGCTTGATTGTTTGAATTGTCTAATATTAGATAATCTGCTTCGTGCTAATTTTAATTTTTTAATTTATCAACTTGTAGCTCTAATTTTGTATAAAATATTTCATTATTTTATTACTATGTACTATTACTATTAAGATAAATTTTAATAATAATTAAGTCATAAATGATAATATTTTATTTTATGACTAGATCAAATCTCGTGAACATTTAACATCATGATACTGCTCCTATGCTATTATTAAAAAAACAAAATTTTTAAAATCTCCATAAAAGGTTATTGTTAAATAACAGGTAACAGCCGACCGCTAGTGGCTATACACGTTAGTAATATTTAACTAATAAGTAATATATGTAGGTAAAATTTATTGTTTTCTCCATCACAGTACCAGTATACGATTTATTTTAATTTAAATGTAAAAAAATCGATTTTTCTTTAGAAAATAACAAGAAATTAATATACAGGATGAGGCAGTAAAACGGCGATTTTCTAATGTATTTAAATGGTAAAACTCGTTTCACTATCCCACCCTTTACATTTTAAGTATCTATGAATAGGTTTTTTTAGTTGCATTTTATTTTGTACGTTGTCAATCTAGTAAAATAGAAGTATAATATAGCTTTGAAATAATATAATCTATGAAGTATAAATAGTTTGTGTGAGATTGCTTTAATGGAAGTATATAATACATAAATATTAATTTTATTGAGAATAAGCGATTATAATTTAAACTATGGAGTACAAACAATTGGAACATGAATCGTCGACCATTCCAACGAAATATAACAAGACATTGTATATGTGTTATTTGGTCCACTAAGTTTTTGCAAAAAAAAAAAAACCAGTACAGTGGGGACGGAGCATAGTTGGGTCGGGGCATTTTGGGGACGGGGAGGTCACAAGTTTACAGGAATTTTTAAATCTGAAAGTGATAAAATCACTTTCGAAAAAACGCTTCGATGCAAATCGGTAGTTAGTATTTTCAAGCCAGTACAGTTCAAACCAAGCACAGTATAAACCAGCAAAGTTAAAAAGTTTTAAATGAAGGTTCTGTATTTACAAATGAGCATCAAAGCGTTTATGTGAAAGCGATTTTATTCAATTTTATCACTTTTATTTATAATAATTCTTGTAGACCTGTGACCTCTCCGTTTCCTCATTACTTTGATTACATTATGCCAATACTCTACTGTACTAGTCCTCTCGGATAAAATCACTTTCAAATTAACGCTTTGATGCTCATTTGTAAATACAGAACCTTCATTTAAAACTTTCTAACTTTGCTGGTTTATACTGTGCTTGGTTTGGACTGTACTGGCTTGAAAATACTAACTACCGATTTGCATCGAAGAGTTTTTTCGAAAGTGATTTTATCACTTTCAGATTTAAAAATTCCTGTAAACCTGTGACCTCCCCGTCACCACTATGTCCCGACCCAACTATGTTCCGTCCCCACTATGCACCGACCCCACTGTACTGGTTTTTTTAAATTAAAATCGGCTTCCTACATGATAATATATAGTTAAGTTGTCAAAGAACTGGAATACATTAGAAATCTCTTTACAGACCATTCTATGTAGAGGACATTTTGTCTGGCTTTTTGGTCTAAAATAAACCAAAATGGCTTATACTCATAGAAAAGATTGTTTAAATTAAAAATAATATCTCGAATCTTATACGAATAACCGGTAAATTAATCGACACGGTCAAAAAGTTATTAAAACCTTATTTTTTTAAATATTGCTTACACTAAAACTCCTTAAACAAAGACCGCATGCGATCCTCTTAATGCATTTTTTTAGAGTACTGATAAAACTAGAACCTACGTTTGCTCTTGCAATAGTACTTCTTTCGTTTTCGTCAACGCCCCTGTTCCATTCGAATTTGTCCAATTTGCTACCAACGATGGATAACAACTTTCGTAGAACTTGAGGAATTAAAGTCAGTTTGAATTGTTTGCTGAAATAAAAATACTGTACGTTAACACATTTACAATATATTATAATATATATATGGGGTGTCGTGAGCCAATAAAAAAAAGAATGAGGATGAAATAGACACTGAAGTAATAAACACTTTTTAAAAGATAAGATTAACTGTTTAATTATAAGCACTTTTAAGAGTCACTGGTTGACCATAGTAACTGACTGAATATTAGACAATAATAAACTGACTGACCATTATACAAAAGAAAAGCTTAGCTATTATATTATACAAATATGTAAATTAATTTAATATAACAAACAACAGAAAAAAAGGTTTAGCACAAGGATAACTAGTGTTTATATAAAGTTAAATGCGTGTTAGGAAATAAGTAAACCAATGATAAATAATATATAGGTTATCATAGATATCTAGAAATAATAATAAAGTAATATAAGTAGCCCTGGCTTATTACATGGGCATTCCGAGTCAAAGCTTCTATTGGTCTATTATAAGACCTTTATTTTTTGAAATTTTTATCACTCATTATTAATAGAGGTTTTTAATGTTATTTTTCTCAAAAAATCGATTTCGACCTGTTTTAAAATTCTGAAAGTTTTATCATAAAACCAAAGACTCAAATCAAATCGTTTGGTCTAATAACGGAAATGAGCCGAGATTTATTTCTATTTTTTTTTAATAATAAAATTTTCAAAATCTGAAAAAAAATGTATAATTTCAGTTTTTTTTATTAAAAAAAAAATATATATAAAACATGTCTTGGTAAAATTTGATATTTTTTATTTTTTAGGAGTAAAAAGTGAAAAATGTGCCTTACAAATAAAATAAAAACATAAAAAACCTCTATTTTTTGGGTAAATATGATTGATAAAAATTTCAAAAAAATGAAGGTCTTATATTAGAGTATTAGGCCAATAGAAGCTTGTAAAAAAATGTCATAAAAAGTACAACGTGTACCAAAAAATTATTGTTTAAAATATTAATATATCCCGAGAAAACGAGTGTCTTATCCTTAATAAATCACCCTGTATATATATTGCGTAGTATAAAAAAAAATTTAACTTTTCAGCCGTGTCCACATTCGTTTGTGGATTGCCACATGTTTTTTTATCGAAACATGGAATAACAAATAGGAAGCAACATATTGCAGCACAGTAAATTGCTTTTTTTATTTTACTTACTTTTGCCGCGATATGAAGTGCGCAACCGCAGACACCATTAAAGAGCTGACTATAAATGAAATGCATACGAGGAGCCATATTTCTTTGATGTTCAACAATATTGGCTGCAGTCTTTCCGAATACAAGTACTGAACGATTAACGCCATCATCGGATAGATTCCTTTATAGTAGGTAGGAGACACAAAGATAAAAAAAAAATACAATCTATTCTTAGGTATACTTTAAAAGGGTGTCTCACCTATATTAACGCGGCCGGAGGCTTCATTCGGCTCCAACCAAAACGACCCCCAAGACATGACTACCATAAAAAAACCCAGGAAGTAGTAGGCCACGGTGTGAACGCCGAGTTTGCGACCCAGCTCATAGTATAATTTCAACTGGCTGTAGTTGTCAGCTTGATGAAAAAAATGGTACAAAAAAAACAACGACAATAAACCATTGTAATCGAATGTGAGTTACTTATATAAAATATGTTATATTAGCTTCGATGCGGAACTGAGAAGGTATTGTTTTTTAATTTTTGTGTCTGGACATCTTTTAAGCCGCTGAACCGATGTCTTCATATAGCAACTCTATAGATCAGAAATTATACCTGAAAGGTACTTTATTGGGCCAAACATTTTAAAAAGTCCACCTTTCCCCTTCAAAAATTGAGAAAAACGCCAAATTTCCATGTGGCTATGCGTGAGTTAATTATGATTAATGTGTAACTATGGACATTTATTTTAACATACAGACGATCAACCCTAATCGATCCACTGTAATACGAAAAATTAATATTTAAGCACGTAATTGCCATTAGGTTCAATGTTTTTATCGACATTTGTAATTTTTAACTGCGAACACTGGAACTCCCTTACTTACTCAATACTAATAACAATTACTGCTATACTTACTAACGTATAATACTTTTTTGCTGTGCTTAATTTTATATAGTGTACTTAGTTTGGACTGTACCGGTTTGAACCTACTCTCTACAGATTTGCATCGAAACGTTTATTGAAAAGTGATTTTATCGCTTTCAGTTGTAATAATTTCTGTAGACCTGTGATCTCCTCGTCCCCACTATGCCCTGAACCCACTCTAACTGGAATTTTTTTTTTTTAGTCTGTACCCAATTCTTCGTAGTGGTCGCTGACCGTCACGGTCGTCCGAATCGACGCCAAGTTGTATTGGGTAAATTCTAAGCTGCTCCTGAGCTCCTCCGGCGAAACGTGTTCCCACAACAGTTCCAAATCAGTATTGTTGTACAACACTGCAGAAAACACAAGACACGCGATATAACTCAATCAGAAATCCATCCACCGGACAACACTACTCACGACTCTGCAGTAACAGGGAACATTTCTGCTTGTCGAACGGGAACTTTTCCAAGTTCATCGTGCACAGCTCAGACGGCACTTCCAACCTGCAACCAACGTCCGCCGTTATTATCGTACGTCTTGACAAAACTCCCAGAGTTAAACATCACAGTTAACAATTATAATAAAACAATATAACACACTATATCACCTGGCCGAATAGATAACCGTGCCGTCCGGTTGCACCGTCTCCAGGATGTCTTGGGGATCTGAGTCCGTGTCGTAGTTGACTATGTCAACGAGTGGAGTCCAAATTCGCTGCTTAAGTTTGTCCTTTCCTCGTACGTTCAAATTGGATAAAGAATGCGCCAGACGGCTGTCGCGCCACCGAAATTTTATCAGCACGTCTGGAGTTAAATTCTACGTCAAATAAACGGTCAAATAGTACACACGGTCGATAAGTACAATTCTCGATTAAAAACTATCTAGTGTAAAATGGATGACAGTTGAAAAATGAGATATGTTCGATCCTAAAACGCGCCAGCGCCTTTTTCGGCCTACTACAAGTCGCAACATTGTTATATTACTTTTAAACCAGATTAAAATCACTCGTCTTACAAGCCCGAGATATTATTATATTGGATTAGCGCTTTTCGCTCGGGGTTTTATACTTATCTGGAGTGTCTGGAGTGTTATGATGAAATTCCAGTAAGTGAATAATGATAGTAAAAAATATGGAAACGGGCAACTGTGCGCCAACTAACCAACTGTCGAGCAGTAGAAGATTTTCGGATAATATACTTGTCCACTCTGGCCCAGACCCTCGTCGGTCCGCTTTCCGGTATTGGCCTTGTCAAACTATTATATCGACAAGGTTCCGTTTGCCACATTAGCCTTTTTATCAGACTGTTATGATCCGCTGTATCATAATTGGTGCACTTTCTATAAGCAAAAATAATTAAATCAATCAAACTCGGGTACCTTTTTTTTTTTTGAGTACTCTGACGTTCAGTTTTTACACTGTCTTGTGCTAATATTATATCATAGTTGGGCATTACGTGAGAGATCCGCGCTTACTTTGCCAATATTACACTCTTCAAATCAAAGCTGCTGTCGCAGTGGTCCGAAAATTAATTCTAGTTGCTCAAAAGTCCCTTTTTAAAATATCCAACCAATATCGAAAAAATTATAAATTACTAATTTTATTATGCTTTTCATAGACATAACATAAAATTTAAAGGTCATATGTGTACCTGAACGTTTTTTTATTGCTATTTAAAGTTCAGTTATTGTAGTTTGGCGGTTATTTTGATTTCAGAAAATAATATTTCGTTTACAATTCTTTAACTAAAGAGGCGGAGTGCGGTAGAGAAATGCGCGCAGATAAAATACCTTTACTTATTTATCAAAAAAAAAAAAAAAATGTTCACTAGAACAAAAGTTATTTCATTTGTCAAATCAATGTGGGCCGCCCTGTATGCTATATTATTATACATAATTTACAATCAATGACACTCCCGTAATGTGTTGAATATACATTTTCGATTTGCATTTGTCTTTTCTGTGAAATGGTGTAAAAATGATTTGTACCACTTTATTTAGAAAAACACTGTACTCACGCATGGACGGATATGGACGATGAAAAATATGACGCCAAGATAAGAACCACCGTGGCCGTGATGACCAGGTCCAATCCGCGGACGGATAACATGTTGGACCAGTTGGACGTTATTGTGTTCTCGGTGTGTGGTGGCGGTCGTTGTCGCTAAGGCCAAAGCTAACAGAAAAAAAAAACGATTGCAGTTAATTATTAAACCCTGAAATAATCTCAAATATATTTTTTTAATTTTCCAGTGTAAAGTGATCAAGTTTGTAAAAATGATTAAAGTGATATATTGAACTAGAGCACGTCTGTTATAAATTATTATTAACAATTACACACGACATTATCTGCTATTAGATGCTTTTGTTTTTGGGTACGCGCATACAATCTAACCAACGGTAGGAAAAAACTAAAGATCAATAATGCCATAATGCGATTTGGCCTTTACTGTAGCCTTCATTTACAGATGCACTTTGTGTTGCTTTTACTTTGAATAACTACACAGTTTCAACTAAAAAGCTTTTAACATAGTAAACCGAGTAAAAAATAAATTTAAACATTTTTTTTTAACCTATCCTTACCGGTGCGGAAGACAACGGGAAACCACCGCACCATACCCAATTCCCCAGGATGGCAAAATATCTTGTCTCAAAAGTTGTCCAAGCCGACCTAGTCGTGTTGTAGACTAAAAATTAAACTCAAGACTACTTTAACGAAATGTGTTAATATACAAGATTATAATTACGACGCATTAACTTCGATTAAAACCGTTATTTTTAGCTAAGAAAACATATTAAAATGTAGTTTGGACACGACAAAACGTAAAAAAAAGTCCGAATTTATAATAATGACAAGTACAAGTTAAGTTGTAATCTTTTTTTTTTAATATCACTGACTGACTAATATATTATTATTTTTCATATTTTGATTATTCTGATGTACTAATTTTTGTTGGCTTAATGTATATATAAGTACAAGCTAATGATTTGCCTCTTCGTTAACAAACACTTATTGTTATAATAATTAACAAACTAACTAACTGGTTGCGTCAACATAATATAATTAAGTAACAGATTGTAACCACCGAGTTAGTTTGATTATCTCGTATTGTGTATTCAAACAAATTCACCACGTTCAATGTAAAACATTAAGAAGTACAAATAGACAAAGTATGTAATTTTGTGAAAATTCTTCAATTCAAGAGCGCTGTCTAGAATGCGTTTATTTTATGAGTGTATGTGGATATATTATGTTAGTGTATGTTGGCGTTAAAACATATAAGTCCACTGCATCTGCCGTATAACAGTACAAAATGCATTCAAGTTGCGAAGACGTCAATGATCGGCCCCCACTAAGAAATACATTTTTGTTTTTTCCAACTTTATACTATTTTAATTAATGTACAAATCTTTACAATAGCGTATCTTTTATTACACAATTTTTTTAAGTTCAGCAACACACCGTTTTGAAGTTTCACTTCTGCCGCGGGTCCCGCCGAGACCCACATAATTTTTTTATCAAACTTTCGTCATAACACGGAGAAAAATAACTTTAAAAGTATTGTAATTAGAAAATTGTAATATACGTTCACCTTGAAATTAATAGGCTTATGAACAATGGCTACGAGATACATTTTTTGTCAAATATTGCCTATCCTTTGCTCCTTAATAAATAGCGCTTTCCGTTCCCCTCAAGAGGTATTCAGTATAACGGGCGGCCGTCGTGTCGAGAGCGGCGATCGACGGACAAAGTACCCAGCGGGCGCGGGTAGACGTGCGGTGCCGGGCGCGCGCGTCTGTCGACGTCGGCGAACTTTAAAACTAATCCGTAACTTCCAAACTAAGTGCGAGCTGGGCAAAATGTTTACATATTCGTAATCAGCATGCAAAATACTATCGAATAATAATTTTAAAAAAAACGAAAAAAATAGGGTGTCCATTAAAGTGTAGCTTTGTCCGCGATTATTTGTCGTTTTCGAATAAATAAACAAAATATGTTATCTTTACATAATATTAAATAATTTTTTATTCGAAAATATCGAATAATTTTTTTATGTTATTTGAACGTTTTATTGACCTAACTGTTTTCTTAATAATTATAAATGTTTGTACTATAATTACCGTAACGTTAATTGTGTGCTGTTGCCAAAGATTTTGTGTTTCGTACCAACGTGACGCCTTCGGGACGGTGGTAGGTTGTGGAATTAGAGCCTAGAATGCATTTGCACAAGTGCAGTATACCGTTCAACACCTGTATTGATCGATCCGTGTACACCCTTGGCAACCGGGCAGATGCACGATGCGCCGATTAAAATGACAAAGTACAGCGGCCAGTACCTATGCGGCCATAGACGATTGGTTGCACAAAAATTTAAGGAAAAATGACATGCTCTAAGATTATTGTGATGGTTATATTTTGTTTTATATTTTTGTGTAATTAATTAAACTATGATATCTGTATTCTTATGCCTTTATTCGGGCATAAACAATATTATGGGGATTGAAAGCGGGCGGGTTTTAAGCATCAGTTTTATATAGGCAATATTTAATTTAAAAAAAGGGTTTTAATAAATTTCGACCATATCAATTTGTTTTCAGGTTCATTTGTAACTTGTATACGCTGCATAGTATTGCATTTAGTAAATACAAATTTTTTCTACGACTTGGTCATTTTAGTAGTACATGAAACCAATATTTAGATCTAAAGACCTGAAATAGTTACGCCTACTACGGATGATCGAATTTCAATTCTGTAAAAATATTCTGTACATTTTTGAATAACTATTTTATTTACTCAAAAAGACAAGGAAGTGAATAATAAAAAATGTTTAAATTTGAGAAATTAAAATAGGATTTAAACATAGTTTTAGTTAAAATATTAATAATCGATTCCCTCGATAACCTAGAAAAGAGGCCGTGAAGCTCAAATATTTTTACAGAATTTAAATCGGACCATCCTAAGTTGGCGTAATTATGTCAGGATTTTAGATCTAAAACGTCAAAAAAAAAAGTTTCTATGGAGGGGGGGGGGGCGGCTAAAAGGCCGATTTTTTATTAAGCTATTAGAAAATAAAATAGACGAAAAATACAAATGTTTATAGTAAAATTTTAAAAACAAAAAAAAATCGGTCATTTAGCCCACCTAGAAAAAATGGTAAATTTTAATAACAGAAAAAAAAATGAAATTGGTTTGGTTAGACACTTGAGAAAGTAAATTCGCGTTTTAGTCTTTAATTCAATACAATTTGGCACTTTCCTATACATAGCTTCCCTATAAGCTTATATAGCTCCATAATAATTAATCAAATATAATAGGTACAATAATATTAAAGATATTTTTTTAACAAAAAAAAAAAATTGAGACATTTTTTTTTCATTTTTGTGGTACTGAAATACAGCTAGAGTAAAATGTTCGTGTATTTAGTACTATTATTTTTTGATTATGGAAAAAAACAATCATTTACAATAAGAATAACAATCTGCACGTTTACCGTTAATACATTTATCAATGAGATAAATTCTACTATTTTTTCATTAGGTTATTATTTTGTTGTTATGAGACGTATTTGTAAGTTAGTTAAAATTTGCGTTTATTTATTTATTTTTAGTACGGAAAGTCGAAACACTAAACCAATGATTATTAACATTTTTAACCGGCAATCTAAAAATCTATAGAAACTAGGATGAAGTAGAAAAAAATTTAAGCGCCATATCGGTAAATTGGGTTTTGGTACAAAAAAATAAAAGGCGATCATCATTTCGAAAACGATACCGTCTCGGCTCCACGGCAAAGTTAAAAAAGTAAGCACAGTGAATTCGACGTCACGTCTTCTACTCCCTCTCGATTAACTATTTTTTTTTTGAAATAATTAAAAAATGTTTAGTACTTACCCGTGTGACTGACTGTTGAACCCCAAAAACAGCACCGTGTCTTGCACGCGTACCGCCGCAAGCTACTGCACGTTGACCGTCGACACGACTTGGCAGTATAACAGCGCCAGCGCCAACCCCTTCTACCGCTCTCTATCACAGGGTGCATCCGGAACTCTCCAACGTTTAAACTGTGCAGAAGGATAACCGATAAGGATAGTTTTTTTTAATATAATGATAGTCGAATTAATTTGGTAGGTAGGCGTAGGCACTGGCAGGAAAAAATTCCCGAACAAACAAACACCGCAGTTGTCAGATTCGCTAACATAATACAACCTACCATGTAATATTAACAAATTGTAGATCCTATAAATTATTTAGAAATTTTTTTTTAAAGACTTCATTGTCCGTAATGACACAATTTTAGTTTTTATTTTATACTGTTAAGTACGGCTGAATGAAAAATAGTAATATTCTGGGTCGGTCTATTTTACCGAACTGCATATTCGGTTGCTTATACCCTCGGGACATATGTACTGAACTATTGAAACCTAACCTAACCTGCCTTCAGAGTGTATATAAATAATGTTTTAATTTATGAATTTAGCGGACCAACTCGTTTATGCCCAAAATTGACAATGGCTCTTTTAGACCCAAGCCACAGATTTGGTATGTTTAAAATATTTATAACAGCAAAACAACATACAATACATAATTATGAGGATTTAAATTGGAGGCAAGACTAGATGGAAAACACTGATAAAACGTGTACCCGACAAACTTTTTTTAAATTTAACTTATGCAAATTTCGCTCAGAGTACCTTAAAGCGGCGGGCGAATGGAAACCCACAGGGAAGAGACCAAGAGGACGTCCAAAGAAGCGATGGATAGATGGGATAAGGCAGGACTTAGAGAAACTAGGGATACCAAATTGGGAAGAAAAAGTACAAAATCGAAAAGAGTGGAAAGAGGTGTCGGTGGCGGCAAAAACTCTTGAAGAGTTGTGATAGCCTTCTATTAAGTTTAGCCTTAATGCCAACTGAGAATTTAATCCATCAAAATCAGTTATATTAATTTTACAATGATGTTTCTTTTTCTCTTTGTGTTTGGAGCAAAAAACAAATTAAACTTGTATAATGTATATTAGTTATATATTTATATTCACTACTTAGTATTACTCAGTTTTGATTATTACAATTTCATAGTATATAATATTAAAATGTTTATGATATGTCAATATTAAATGTTTTCAATCTCGCATCATTAAAACAAATTATGTGATCATAATCACTTAATATATTTGATGACTCAATCTCTTGTCATATGTTTTTTTCAGCAATATATCTTTCACAAAAGACTCCCTCGGGTTCTTCATCATTTTTTGTGAACCACAAAGTGGTATTTTTCTCGACAACAAATAAATCGTTTTCAATAGTAACGGCATCTGCATTTTAAAATAAAGTGTTATAAATATATATCATATGCACGAGGTAAATCTTTCGTAGTATAAACTATTAGTTTCATCATTTTCGGAACTATTCATGTTGTCATTATTTTACTGACTTTTTTAACCAATTGCTGTGTCAAAGCGATAACCACAGTACTACAGTATAGTCACAAGAGTGAAATGTTGACAATCGCTCTAAATCCGAAATAGGTTTGAAAGGTCAGATAGACAATGAAACGACAACATGGATATACCCGAACATGATACAAATCATATTCGGATAATATTTCTCAAACACAATTATTATTATTCACTTACTAGCAAACCTTTTTGCATTGATCATATCAGGTAGGGTATCCCATTTTGAATCATTTATGTTCATTTTGTAAGCGCCTTTCAGTTTTTCATTACCGACAAATAAATAAATATCATTTTCTCTATCTGAAATGCCCATTGTTACCCATCCTACAACAGCAGTAGCTCTAGGCATAGGATGACACTGTAGATCACAGGGCAAGAATAACTATATTGTTGTTTACCAATATTGTACTCTACATTGTGTAGGTATCATTTGAAAAAAAATTAAAACTATAAAGCTTAGAAAAAAGTTTTAAAACCTTATTTCATACTTTTTGAACTTTATGGAATGGCGGAATGAGCAATTATCATGCAATTGTAACATCTACTACTAGATAATATGTTTAAATATATTCCAATAAAAAAAAAAGTTAAGAAGGATATAGACAAATTAAATACAACAATACCCAACTGCGTTATTCTTTGAATTATTATTATTTAACATAACATTTATACAAATGTAGGTATGTTTATATTTTATAAATAATGTGTTCAATTATATTAAGTATTTTAACATGAAATACATTTTTAAAGATTCAACCAAAACAATTTTAACAAAAAAATATGTATTAAAAGTGGATGATAGTAATAACAGCTTAGAGCCGTTTTCATATATTTTTCCAGTAACAAAAATTTAGCTTATCCGCCTGTGGACGTACAATTTAAGTTCATACAACACAACAAAAAAATGGTGTACAGTAATAAATGCAAAAAGTATGCCAACGGCACGTAGTGTTCCCAAGCGGTCACCCATCCAAGTACTAACTACGCCCGACGTTGCTTAACTTCAGTGATCGGACGAGAACTGGTGTATTCAACGTGGTATGGTCGTTGGCGGAGAATGGGAGTTTATTTTACTTATTTAAACACAATATTCTTTTTTTTAATAATATAATATGATATCACACTGCATAAAATGTAGTTAAATTCAAACTAAATTACATTATTTAAATATTGTGCACGTTTAAAATATGTTTGTACATTAGGTACTTGACGATAAATGGACAGACTGATAATATGTTAATTGTTGAACAATGTAATAATGAATGGAATTTTGGTTATTAAGAGCCATGGCAATGTTTGTAAGATTCAATTATTTAGCAAATACCAAGTTACATCACACAACCACGCGATGAATGAATAAAGGAAATTTAAAAAACTGAATTTTGAAATTTAAAATGTTTGGTTCCCTAAGGAGTATTTAGCATTTTTGACCAAGTGTAGCAATATGAAGTAATGACAATATTTTATAAAAACTGATTGAATTTAGTAATAATAAATG